AAAAACAAGGGACTGGCTGGTGAACCACAGTTTTGCGCTGACACGGCTCACACGCATACTTGTCGCCAATCTTTTGTTCGCAATATGACAATTAGTGCATTTAATGCGTATCGAAGCTACGCTTGGGGAGCACCGGAATTTAAACCAATTGCACTGGAGACGTTTAATAACATGTACGGTCATGGCCGCAACATGGGAACTTTTCCAGGTTTGTTTATCAAACAGAGTTTGATAAAAACTTTTTTATTTAAATAAAATCGTCTTGTTTTTACTACAGGCCTGACAATCGTCGACGCAATGGACACACTGTGGATCATGAGCATGATGGATGAGTGGGAAGAGGGAAAACAGTGGATTGTTACAAACTTGCACGTAGCCGATCTGGATCAGATGCTCAGAGTGAAAGAGATTTTACTGGGCTACCTCGGTGGCCTTCTCTCCGCTTACGCTCTCAGTGGAGACCAAGACTTACTTCACAAGTCAATTGAAGTGATGGAAGCTCTAAAGCCGGCATTCAATAAGGACACAGGACTGCTCGCCTACAGGTACAATCCCAAAGTAAAGTTCAGCACGGCTAAAGTTGACAATACGGTTCAACGCGTCAGACTTCGAGTCGTAAACGGAAAAGTGGTAAACACTACTGAACCAGCAAGTGTCGACCAAGTAGCAACTGTCACATCCGCTCCAGTGCCAATTGTAGAGCGTGATAATGCAAACTCAATTGGCCTTGTTGGCTTTCAACAACCCGAGCTCATTTACTTTGCTAATCTTACTGGTGACTCACTGATTGAAGAGCAACTCGTGAAAAGCCGAGCGGTCATGAGCAGCATTGACCGTCCTAAAGGATTGTGGATGAGCTACCTTAATGCGGCTACGGGAAAGTCAAACTTCACCGGCACAGGACTGTTTGACGAGACAACTGATTTCTTCTACAACATGATACGGTCGTACGTTCAGCTGAATCGACAAGATGCTCAGCTGTTGAAGATGTACACTGATGCTATTGATAATATTCAGAAGATGCAGTTGCTCAAGAATATTGGCAATCAGCTGTTTGCAAGAAAGTTTGAAACAAAAGCTCTCCTTCACACTAATAATATGGACGACACCAGCTGTCTTTTAGGTGGAATGCTGGCTCTAGGAGCCAGAGAGCTGCAGAAAGCCAATTCTCCAAAGTTTCATCTTCACTGGCAGTTGGCAGTCAACATCACCGACACATGTTATCAGGCAGCAAACAGAACTAAAACCAAGTTACTTCCTCATAGTTTCACGCTGAATAATTCTATTAGTACCGAAGGCTGGATGGCGTAAGTAGAAATGATTAAAGACAAACTGGCTACTTTTTATTTACTAAAAACTTTCCCCTTTTAGGCCCAATTTAGCCGAAACCTACTTTATTCTTTTTCGTCTTACCGGCGACAACAAATACCGAGAATGGGCTTGGGA